ATTTTTTTCATATTATTTGTTGATCAGTTGTATTTCGTCTTCTGTGAGGTGTCTATTCAGTTCCTTAGCCCATTTATTGATTGGGTTATTTGTTTTTTTGGTGTTGTGTTTTTTGAGTTCTTACATATCCTGGAGCTTAATCCTCTCTCTGAGGTGCATTGTTTTAATTTTCTGTTTGGTTTTGGTTTAGGGTAATTCCTATTTCATAAAATGAGTAGAGAAGAGTTCCCTCCTATTCTGTTTTCTAGAAGAGTTTATATTAAATATGTTGTTTCCTATTTAGATATTTGGTAGCATTCCCTGATGAAAGTATCTGGCCTTGGGATTTTCTTTTTAGCAAGATTTTTTATTATATATTCAACTCTGTTGATAAAATCCTATTCAAGTTAATTATTTTTCTTAGGTGAATTTTGGTAGTTTGAGACTTATGTGGAATTAGGCCTTATCATCTTAAATTGCTGAATTTATGTGCATAGGGTTGTTTGTAGTATTCCCTTTCCTCTTAATGTCTCTGTAGGTTGTAGTGATCTCTCCTCTTGTTTCTGATGTAGATCATTTGTATCTGCTCTTCTCCTTATCTCCCCGCCTTTGCATGGGCAGGTTTTCTCTCTGGTCAATCTGGTTCCAAGTTTATAAATTTTATTTATATTTTCAAAAAATTACTTTATAAAAAACATTTTTGTTTTCATTGATTTTTCTTTTTCCAGATTTATTAATTTCTTTTTATTCTTTATTTCTGTTTGCTTTCGGATTGTTTTGCCTTTTTTTTTTTTAAGTTTCTTAAAAGTAGGAGCTTGAGACTTTCCTGCTTTTCTAGTAAAAATATTTAATGCTTAAGTTTCCCTATATAATTGTTTAGCTGAATCTCATGAAATTTAAAATGTAATTTCATGTTTATTTAGTTCAGAATATTTTCTAATTTCCTTAACACTTCATTTTCAACATAGTGATAATGTAAAGTTTGTTGTTTAATTTTCCAAGTACTTGAGGATTTCTCTAGATATTTTCCTGAGACTGATTTCTAGTTTAATTTCATTATGGTGGAAGAAATACTTTGCATGATTTCAGTTCTTTGAAATTTGTTTTGGTTTGTTATGACTGAGAGATTGAGTAAAGAACAAAGAAAGAATAAAAAGCAGAAAAATCAATGAAACTGAAAAAAGGAAAAGAAAAATCAGTGAAACAAAAAGGTGTTTTTCTGAAAAGGTTAATAATGAATATTCCATGTGTGTACTTGAAAAGAATGTGCATTCTATTGTTGACTGGAGTGTTTCATGAGTGTCAGTTCCTATTGGTTTGTAGTGTAATTTATTTCTTGAATATTCTTGATTACTTCTAAATATGTCCATTAGTTTTTGAGAAAAGAGCTTGAAGACTTGAACATATTGTGTATTTTTAGTTCTTTCAGTTTTTATATATTCTGAGCTCTGTTAGTTAATTTCACATTAATAATTGTTATATGATCTTGACAAATTGTTCCTTTTATCTTTATGATATGCTTACTTATCCTGGTAAATTTCCTTGCTTTTTAGACTAATTTATGTAATAGTGATAGAGTTCTTTCAGTTTTCTTTTGAACATGGAATATCTTTATTTAATCTTTTATCAGAATTACATTTTAATTTAAAATGCTCATCTGTATTTTTCTATTTAATTTATATGTTGGATTTTTATTATATTTCATTGTGCACTTATATATTTTAGTTAATTATACTAGAAATTGCAGGGGTTTTTTTTTTTTTTTTTTTTGTTTTTTTTTTTTGGTGTGTGTGTGTGTATAAACAGTTGATCTTCTGTATACATGGATTCCACATCCATGGATTCAGCAAAAAAACACATCTGTACTATAGAACATAAACAGACTATCATTCTCTAAAAAATATAGTATAGCATTTGCATCATAATCCATAATATAAGTAATCTACAAATCTTAAATTATTTGGGAGTGTTTTCATAGATTATATGCAAATACTATGACATTTTATATAGGGGCTTGAGCATGTGAGATTTGGGTATATGAGGGGTATCCTAAAACCATCCCAAATGGATAGTGAGGGATAACTGTATTCAATTTTTCAGAGTTCATGGAGAATAAATATTCTGCCACTTCAAGTAGAATATATAAAACTTGCCACTATACAAGTCCCTTTAACCATTGAGGATTGTGGTTGATATGTGTTTATCTATTACAGATCTCACCAGGCCATCTTAAATTTTTTGTTTAAAAGTTGTATGTATTATAAAGAAGAAAAGGAAAGTAGTTTATCATATTTGCCCAGATACTTTCCATTTCTGTTTATTTTCCTTCATTCCTGCAGTTCCATCTTCCCTAACATTTTTCTTCTGTAAACAGAATGTCTCTTACCATTTCTTTTATAGCAAGTCTGCTGGTCACATTTTTTTTTTTAAACTACCCTTTATCTAAGAATATCTTCATTTTGTTCTTAATTCTGAAGAACATTTTCACTGTTTATTGAGTTCTAAATACACAATTCAGTTGTTGTTTTTCTTCCCCCACCACTTTAAAAATGTTGTTCCCCTGCCTCTGGCCTCCATGGTTTCTCAGAAGAAATTCATAGTCATTTTTTTGCGTCATTGTTCCTTGTATGGTTTGTGTTGCTTTTCTTTGACTGCTTCTAAGATTTGATTTTCTTTGTGTTTGCTTTTCAGCAGTTTGGCTAAAACTTATCTGCACATGAATTTTGCTGAGTTTTTTCCATTTGGACTCACTGAATTTCTTGAATCTACATGTTTGATCCTTGCAAATTTTGACAAGGTTTTAGCTATCGTTTTTTTCCAAATATTTTTGTTTGTAGTATTTTCTTTCTTCTAACACTCAGGTGACTCACAGATCTGGATGATCCTATTTTTCTCCTAATCTTTTTCCCTTTAATTGTTTTTACAAACAGTCCCCAACTTATTATGGTTCAGCCTAAGATTTTTCAACTTTATAGTGGGTTGTAAACACATTTTCAACTTTGGGTGGATTTATCAGGAAATAACTCTATCATAAGTTGAGGGGCATCTTTGACCTAGGATCTGTCTTCAAGTTCACTGACTCCATTTTATTATAAAATCCTTTAGTAAATTTTTTAGTAGGAAAATTCCCTTTTGGGTTTTTGTTTTGTTTTGTTTTGTTTTGTTTTTTTAGATCTTCTGTTTCTCTGCTAAGACTTCTGTCTGTTCCTGTTTCAAGACTGATTTTCCTTACTTCTTGACCATGTTATCATAGCTGCTTTAGAGTCTTCATCTGATAATTCCACTGTCTGAGTTAACCTCAGTGTTGATATCTGTTGACTGTCTTTCTCTTGTGAGTTGTTGAGATCTTCCTGATTCTTTGTATGAAAAGTAGCATTAGATGATATCTTACATGTTTTCAATATTACTTTCTGTGACTTTTAATCCTGTTTATAACCTGTATTGAACATTGATTTTTTTTTTTTTTTTTTTTAAGTTTAACAGAATTTGATCTAGTTAGATTCTCTCTCCAGCTTCTGTGTGCCTCTATTCCTGGTCTTCTGACTGGGAAACTAAAATGTACCTGCCTAAACTGCTGTCCTCCAGGGAGCCAGGGGCATCAATTCTGTCATTAAATAAGGGGAGAAAAAAGAAAAACAAGAGGAACTTCAAATCCACTTACTCCTTGGAGCACAGTTCATCTGCTCATAAAGGATTCCCTCTAAAGTTTAGATATATGTTCCACTTCTATTGCCATCACCTACTGCCACAGGATTGCATCTTAGGGATTTGTGCTTATTTGGGCACTGGGGCAGGAGCGGAAACAAACCCACCAAAGAAACCAGGGTTATCACCTGCTCTTAGTTACATCTGTTGCTCCATGTCCTTTTATATTCTTTGGACCAGAGAGGATCTCTCTTGGAGTTCTTTCTGTATCATGTTTACATTTCTGGGACTCAAGTTGTTTTTTGAGGAGGGGCCAAGCATAGGCTGGAAATGTGATTGGGGTGGAGGCAGGAAAATGTACCTTGAATTATGGTTTATTTGCTACATTCTACCTGCTTCTATTTTCTTTTTAGAGTTTTTAGATAGCTGATTTGTGCATTCTGCCCAGGGTTTTTGAGTAAATTAAGTGTAGACCAAGGATAAAGAGATTATTGCATCTGAATCAGAAATCTTTAAAATGTTTTGAGTATTTAAAATTGTGTTTCATTAATTTACCAAATTTTAATTAATGTTATAGCTTATAGAAGTATAAAAATAATTGAAAAGGATTATAAAATCCAAGGATTTGAAATTACCTTGTAAGTCATTTAGGCTAACCATTTACCTTTGACACATCCCTTTCACCTCCAACTATAGTTGATGATATTTAAGATTAAGTATTTACATACCAGTGTATTAGCTGTTTGTCTACCTTAAGTTATTTAATTTGTACATAATTTGTACATAATCATATTGGGTATAATATAATTCTTTTTCTATCCTTTTTAACTGATGCAGAAACAAAATTCTAGAATGCCTTTCCTCTATAAATAAGATCTTTGAACCAGTCACATTGTCATTACTTTGGGAGCCTATAAGGAATGTATAATCTTGGATTTTAATCCAGACTTTGCATTTGAACAAGATTTCCAGGCGATTCATTTGAATGTTATTTTTTAAAAAATCACTGGTTATAAATATCTTAATCATGGTCATGCAAGTAAGCTTAGGCAGTATGGTCAGACCATCAAGGTATTGAACTATGGATTCTCAAATTGTGAACCATCAGGGGCATGGGTTGTATTTTTAAAACTTTACAGTTTAATAACCATTTTGCAGGAAATGATCACTCCTAGATATTAGATTAAAACTACTTTTTTATTTATAATCTTTATCTTTCATTAAATTAGGCAATATACCATGCGTACAGTGGTATTCAGAGCTGTTTCACTTGTATGCCCTTTTTATTGGTACATTCATTGAAATCAATGTACATTTATTTATAATGCATTCTGTATATCATGAGTTGTTTCTGCCTTTTGTCTCTGTAACTGTAGGTAACAGTTAACCTCTTCCAAATGCAGCACTTGCAGGCTGCCTCCCTTGCAAACAGTTTACAGTCTCTCTGTGATAACGCCAAACTTTATGATCCAGGCCAAGAGTATAGTGAATTTGTGAAGGCTACAAATTCAACTGAAGAAGAAAAAGTTGATGGGTAGGAATTAATATGTAGAATTAATATATTTCTAGAGATAAAACATTTACTAAGTTTCTGACTGTTATAAAGAGGTATCTTTTCTAAACTTGATAGAATTAACTTGAAAAGTTTCTGAATTTTTTTATATTATTTTGTCATTTCTTAGTCCATTCAGTGAATAGCTTTCCATTTTGACACAGACCTCAGTTCTGTGAGACTTAAAAATCCTTTGGGAATGTTAAATGACAATCATACACATTTTGAATGTCCACAAAATTTAACCTATATTTTCCACTGAAGTGATACTAGAAAAGTTTAACCATAACATGAATTACTGACTATACCGTTGCTATTCCTGTTCATGTTTCAACTGTGCAAATAAAAGTTTTTATCCATATCTCCTTAAAGAAGAGATATTACTACTATCTATGTAATAGTTTGTTCATAATATTTAGTTAATTACTCTATATTTATTAAGTCTACAGATTTTTCTGACTATGGTATAAAGTAGATTTATTGTTAGTGCTGAGCTTTATTTGCTTTTTCTTAGGAATGTAAATAAACCATTAACAGATAGTTCCCGGACATCTAGATATGGCCCTGCTGACTCTTTAGAGGATGTTGTGCGCCTTCCTGACAGTTGTAACAAAATTGAAGAGGACAGATGCTCTAACAATGCAGACCTAACAGGTACCTTTCACTTTGAAGAGAATACAGGTTTATGAAGGAGCAGATTGCTCATTTAATCATGAAATGAACTAGAGCTCTGGAATTAGAAAATCAGGCTTCATAATGTAACTCTATGAGACCTAGTCCCAATTATAATCACCATGTCTGCCTTAAAGTCCCTAATAGTTCATTATTAAAGAAATTTGAATCGTCTCATTTTATATAATGTCAGTGTTTTACCTTATGAAATCCACCTGTTAGCTAAGTTTTGACTTTAAATATTCTTTTCTTAAAGGTTCTTCTTTCATAAGATCATGGACATGTGGGATGGTTAGTGACTCTGAGAGTACTGGAGGGAGCAGTGAATCTAGATCTTTGGATTCAGAGTCTATAAGTCCAGGTACATAAATATTTAAGTCTAGCAGTGAAAATATTAAAATAATCATTCGGGGTATATTTATAACTATCTTATTTGTATAATGAACTGTCTTAGATATAGAGATGAGAATGTACGCATATATGTACAAGAAAAAGAATGAAACAAACCCTCACTAAAAATATTAATACGTTAGAAGCCCTCTGAGTACCCCTTCTTGATAACACTGCCTTATCTCCCATGAGAATAAACTATTATCCTATTTTTTAAATCATTCTGTAGATATTTTAAGTGTTTTTAGTACCTATATGTACTGGAGTTTTTCCCCTTTCTGGATGTTGTTCAAATTCAGTCATACTGTTTTATGACTTAATTCATGCATGTTATGTTAATGCAAGTAGTTGCCTTTATTTTTACTCCTGTATCCTAGTCTATGAACTTGAATATCATTATCTGTATTTTGAATTATTTTGCAGTAATTGCTATAATAAACAATTCCATTATGCCTATGAAAATTATTGCTAAATTTTTACAAATGTGCTTTAAGGTACTATGATATAAATAGTCTCAAAATTCTCAGAGAGGAAATGTTTTGGATTCCCGCTTAGTAATATTAAAGAGAATAATTCACCATAGGTTTTATAGCTAGTAGGAGAAAGTAGCATTTAAATTCAGGAGATTCTTATTTCCACATTCTTCTACCAAAGACTGCTATAGTCCTTTCTGGCTATCTACCTTCCTCCTAGACTCTAGGGGGATGTTACAGGGTTTGACCTCGTCAAATTCCGAGGCCATTTTTTCAAGAATTTTACGTATTGCAGTTTTATACATTCATATGAACGACTTGTGTTTAAAGTTATAATTTTTGCCATGCAGGACTGGGGTTTGTAGATTGATCATCAGCTGCCACTTTCTTACTTCCCGCTCGCTCTATTCAAGGGACATTCTAGAAGCTAAATATTTAACTGAATATTTGTAAATCTAGGTAATGCCAGAAATTAAGACCCAATCTAGAGCAAGCCCTAACCCATTTGGAATCTTGTAAATGTTATGTGATGAAGGCAAAAATTTGGAATTTCTGTCACATGATAAGTGAGTAGTCTGAGGGATGCCTCACCTGAAAAAGGAAACTTAAGGACATGACATGGAATGAAATGAAGGGGGGGTTTGAGTTATAGTTCTTGTTTGCCCCTGTGAGAAAGAAATATGACCAAAGACTGGTATTCATACAGAGGCAGATTTCTGTTCAATAATTTAAGGGAACTATTTTATAATTAGAATAGTTCTAAAATGGAACATGTGAATTTGTGATTTTTTCAGTCATTGGGAACACATTCCAAGCAAAAACTAGACACTCACCTGTAAACATATTGAACAGAAAACCTTTTGAGAAAAGGATATTGCTTAGCATCATTTATGGAAAGTATTAGTAACTGAAGCTAAGACAATTAAGACCTTGAGTTAAAGTGAATTCTTTTCAGTTGTAGACCTGTTTATAATTTCAACAGAGTAAATCTCTGCTAGTCAGTCTGCTTCCAAACCAGCTTTGATATATACACAGCAGTGTCCTTTGACATAGTTTGAACTTATGGTTCAGTTCCTGGCTAGAGATCCCTGGGTTGTTGTTCCTGACTCCTGTCTCCTGAATTACTAATAACATAATTTAATTTTACTATTGGATTATTGGGTTCAAATGATTTTTGTATACTTTAGAAGGCCTTACATTATATACATTTATTTGTAACTTAGGAAACATTTAATGACAACTTTACTATTTTGCTAGCCACTGTCAGATATTAGATATAGAACATGAATATCAGATACTACCTATCTTTGTGAAGCTTACAACCTCTAATACTTTCAATCAGAAGTTGGCAGTAAGTTCTCTTAGGAATATATGATCCTAAGTTTTAAATTTATTTGAAAAACTCAGAGTTAGTTAAATCCCTTTTTTCCCCCAAGAATGAAAGAACATCAGAATTCCCTGTTATCTAGAGTATGTATAAGAATGGAAGCGAATTTTTGCAGTGAAGCTAATAAAATAGTATGACTTGTATGATTCAAAAAATATTGTAATTTCCTATTTTTGATATTCTATAATGAATAGTTAGATAATGGTATCAATAATTTTCTTTTAGGAGACTTTCATCGAAAACTTCCACGAACTCCATCCAGTGGAACCATGTCTTCTGCAGATGATTTAGATGAAAGAGAGCCACCTTCCCCTTCAGAAGCTGGTATTGTATTGTATTCACCTGAATGAAAACCCATTAAACTGGTTGAATTAGTAGCACCTCATGATGTTAGAAAGATAGTGTCTTTAAAGAATCATTACTTTGCTGTGTACTAAACAAAAGCATCACACAGTAACTTAAATATATCCTAGTAATTATGTTCAAATATTAGTTGATAATGTACTAATCAGTTATTTAAAATACAAATAGAAGAATAACCAGCAGGGTTAGGGATAATAACTAAATGGTAGAGTACTTGCTTAGCATGCACAAGGTCATAGGTCAATTCCCAGCACCACAAAATAAAAAAGAAAAAGAATAAGCAACAAAATTAGTAGATCTAAAATGCATTGGTATGTTATTAAAATAGCAGGCTAGGTATGGTCTTTTTTTCATAAACCCAATATAGTGACTTATTGTTGAAAGGGAGCATCCTGAGAAAATCTGAAAAATCTTCTTCTAAAGAAAAGAGTGTAAGAAACCAAGCAGGAAGAACAGATTAAGTGTTCTTCCTGAGAATAAGGAATGTTGTGGGTATTGAAGGATATAAAGTCAGTTACCTTAAAGACTCAAATTAGACTCTCATAAATTAATTTTATACATTTGATACCTGTAGATATCTGTCTTGGCATAGTTTCCCAAATTAATGGGATACCAATATAATATTAAAATATAACTAGCTAGTATTACCTATAATTTTATTATGAGTTAAGAAGAGCTTTATCCTTAATGTAAATAATTCTAACATACTAGCTTCATGTAGCTGTTCTTCTTTGAAGCATTTATATGCCACCTATGAACATAGTTCCCAACTCGGTGAAGGACATATTAATAAAAATATAAATATGCTGGTTCTTTTTTTCTTTCTTTTTTTTTTTTTTTTTTTTTTTGGTACCAGGACTTAAACCCAGGGCACTCTTATCACTGAGCTGCCATACTCAGCCTTTTCATTTTTTATTTTAAAACATGTCTCACTAAGTTGCTGAGGTGGTCCTCAAACTTGTGATTCTCTTGCCTAAGCCTCCTGAGTTGCTAGGATCATAGGCATACACCATTGTGCCTGGCTTAAATTTGCTGATTCTGAAAACAATATGCCATAGTATTTTAGAATTATTTTATGGGTTTGATGGTGATTTTGACTCATGGATAAAATTTTGAATAAAAGTGTGTGTTTTATAAGAGATCTATACGTTGGATGCTTTTTTTCATGTTAGAAACTCAAAATATAATAGCTTTTGTAATATGAATAATCTGAAAGTCTAAAAATTATTCCAAGTCCAATATCATGTGGTCTATTTTTGTTTTTCTTTTGTCATTTTACCCTTCTTATATACTAACATTTCTGTTGTAAGGACCCAATTCCCTTGGAGCTTTTAAGAATACATTGATGTCAAAAGCAGCTGTTACTCACAAGTTTCGAAAATTGAGATCCCCCACAAAATGCAGAGATTGTGAAGGCATTGTAGTATTCCAAGGTGTTGAATGTGAAGAGGTAAGGTCTTTTTGGAATCACATTGGCCCCCTTATTTCTTTGCTACAGACTTTTTTTGTTATGGTTTTACTTATTAAGAGATGTGTATGTGTGCACACACCTAAATATATAAATTTGTTGTTTATAGTACTGGGAATTGAATTCGGGGTCTTGCGCATGCCAGGCAAGCACTTTACCCCTGAGTGATATTTCCAGCCCTTTTAAAATTGTATTTTGAAATGGGGTCTTGCTAAGTTAGACTGGCCTCCAACTTGTGATCTTCCTGCTTCAGTCGCTCAAATAGCTAGAATTATAGGTATATGACATCACACCTGGCTCTGCCAGTATATTTTTAATAAAGTCCCACAATTTATCTTCTATGGTTTTATACTTTATTTTGTTGTTAATTGTTTGCATACACCACAAGTGATACTTTTTAACTAATTTTTTTTTTTTTTGTCATTAGTCTGCCTGTCATTTGCTTAGTTGTGAATAATGTAAGGTGAATTAATCACTTTTAAACTATCATTTTCTTGTAGTGTCTCCTTGTTTGTCATCGAAAATGTTTGGAAAACTTAGTTATCATTTGTGGTCATCAGAAACTTGTGGGAAAAATACACTTATTTGGAGCAGAATTCACACAAGTTGCAAAAAAGGAGCCAGATGGCATTCCTTTTATACTCAAAATATGTGCCTCAGAGATTGAAAATAGAGCCTTGTGTTTACAGGTATGTTGTTAAGTCTTAAAATTCTAAAAACATAAATGCCTATGTGATTTCTTTTAAAGGAGACTTGAAGAAAATCAGTACTCTTAGTTTGTAATAACTGAATTTATTCACATTTATTTGGAAAATGTTAATTGATTTGACTTTAACTTATTTTTTTTCCTAAAATACTAATAAAAATTGAAGTAGGTACATCAAATATGTTTAGATGTCTACATTTTATTATTTTTAGTTTTAGTATTATAGGCTGGAAATTCCTTTTCCTCTGAATTGTGAAGACATGGGTTTTTTTGTTGTTGTTGTTGTTTTCTTCATAACATGAATCCTCCTTATTTCATTCCTAACTTTGTATGTGCCTATTATTTTATCCCTCTGTAAACTAGTAGAATCTTTCCCCCCCCCCATAATTCTAAGATTTTACAATATGTATATTGATGTGGATGTCTTTGTACTAAAGTATAATTTTGCATAATTTTTTTGTTTCTATTCAAGGGAATTTATCGTGTTAGTGGAAACAAAACAAAAACTGAAAAACTGTGTCAAGCTTTGGAGAATGGAATGCATTTGGTAGACATTTCAGAATTTAATTCACATGACATCTGTGAAGTCTTAAAATTATACCTTCGACAGGTGAAGTTTTTATTCTAAACCTACCATCAAATAAAAAGAGCAAAAATGTTTTATGTTGCATATATTTTCAATGGCATAGACTATGTTGATATATTTCTTTTTTTTATAAGAGCATTATATTTATACATAGTAGCTAGGTTCATCCTGACAATTTCATACAGGCATGGATCTGACTCACTCCACTTTAGTCCCCTTTCTTCCTCCCTTCTTCCCCCTATTCCATTCCATGTTGATATTTTTCTCATTATTAATACGCAGATCATAAAATGTACATACATTTTAAAGAATAATAATAATAATAAAGCCAAATTCATTTCCCATCACCCCGCCTAAGACAATACAATATTACTATCCCTTGTACAAGTCTTCCAGGTACCTCTTCCATGTTGCAGCCTTCCAACTCCACCTTGGACGTCCTCCTAACCATGTTAAAGGGATAAACATTTTCCTAAACATAATGGAATAAATAACACTTATTAAGTTTTTGTTCCTTTAAGTTTTAGAATGCCAACTTAAAAAGCATAAATGTAGCTGTAAAGGCCAGTGTTCACACTGTTAGGAATATTCAATAAGTAGGTCAGTATCTAGATCATAGTCTAGCTTTGCCTTCAGTGATGTTTCAAAATAGCTATTTTGAGAGGTCAGTGGGAATGGCCATGAAGTTCATCAGGCATCAGGCATAAGGCTTCCTATAAGGTGGATGCTAGAAGTCCAGCAGGAATATGGTCAGGGAGTGGGCTGTCCTATTTTGTCATTTTCTGTTCTCACTATTATACCTGCAGTTGGCAGGAGTAAGTCAAACACACACACACACACACACACATCTGTAGGGTGAAGTAAGTGGCCTTGTTGGCTTTAGGCAGCCGCTTTCAGAGGAGTTACAGGAACTTAATCAGCACATTGTTGTGAGCCAAGTACAAAGAGATTTGGGTCAGACCCAGTTGGCCTTCTATCCTTGGGTGAAAATGAAGAGATAATGACAGAGAGAATAGTGCTGATAATCCTTAATCTGTCCTTCTCTGGAGTTCTTTTGCTCTCTTACAGATCCCTTTTAATTTGGTTATTAACTGTCATCCTGAGATCACTCTCCTCTCCTCTCTTTTGTGATGGAACACCTCTCCTGTTTTCTTTGTTTGGGGGTATTCTGTTTTGGTTTATGTCTGTCCTTAAGCAAGGTGAAGTAGGATTGAATATTTGAAACCTTGTTCATCCATAAATGTCTTTCTATTCTCTTGACAGAAATGGAGTAGTGTAGATAGTGTGGAAGTTTTAGTATTATAGGCTGGAAATTCTTTTTCCTCTGAATTGTGAAGGCATGGGTGTTTTTTGTTCTCTTCACACTGTGAATCCGCCTTATTTCATTCCTAACTTTGTATGTGCCTATTGTTTTGTGCCTCTGTAAGCTAGTAGAATCTTTCCCCCTCCCCATTATTCTAAGATTTTACAATATGTATATTGATGTGGATAACTTTTCATCCACTATTATGGCTACTCCATGATCTCTGTCAGTAGTCAATGCTTTAGTTCTTGGAACTTTTCTTGATTTTTATTGCCCATTTTTTCCCCTTCTGTCTTTGTACTGTCTAGTTGAAGCTCTTGTTTGGATACTCAATAACCCATACTCGTTCTCTAGTTCCCTTACTTTCCTCTATTCTTCTTTTTTTTAAATTAACTTTCTAAGACATTTCCTCAGCTTTATCTTCTTGACTAATGTAAATTACTTCATTCCTGAGATCATGTTTTAATTTTTAAGAATTCTGATTTTTCTATTTCTTTGATAACATTTCTTAAAATGACTATATCATGCTATTTTCCTGTGGATATTTATAGATTTTCTTTATAAGGCTTTGTTTCTCTACTTAGCCTCTAACCCTCTGTAGAAATACAGTGTGACCTTCATATATAACATTAAATTTTGTATAGCCACATAAATTTTTAAAAATAGGTAAAGTTAATGTTAATATTTTATTTAACATTTTGAATATCTAATTATTATTTTTAAATTATGAGATATTTTATTTATTTATTTACAGTTGAGCTCTTAATCTTTGAAATCTGGTATCTATTTGTTCATTTAGAGCACATCTCAATTTTGATCATTTGCACTTCCAGTATTCTTTCAGCATATAAACTAGTGGCCAATATATATTTTTTAAAATATTTATTTTTTAGTTGTAATTGGACACAATACCTTTATTTCACGTATTTATTTTTATGTGGTGCTGAGGATCGAACCCAGGGTCTCGCACATGTGAGGCCAGTGCTCCACCGCTGAGCCACAACCCTAGCCCCTAGTGGCCAACATATTGATAGCATAGTTTTACACCTTCAGTCTGTTATTTTTCTACCCATTTTGATTTTTGTCTTTCATGGTGTTTAGTTATTTTAGAGTTTGGACTTAAAATCTCTTCGGAAGCTCTTGAACACATCAAGATTTTTAAAAAACTTTGAACTTTCCTATAAAGTGGTCTAGGTGGACCATTGGGGATATGCCTGATTACATGTCTCTAGTTCCCTGCTCTTAGACTGGTTTGATCCCCCCTGGAAAGATATGGTACCAATACTGTGGGAGCCAGGGTGGGAAAGATGACTGCAGGATCAGTGCATTCAGTGAGCATACAGCCAACAAATACCCATTTTCAGACATTCAGCTCTCTGTCCCTTATGTTCGGCATTTCCCCCATTCAGAAAGACTCTGTGTCACGTTGCCCAGAGAAAATGTATCCAGATTTTTAGGGAAGAAGTTGCTCAAGAAAATGGAGTGGAGACAGGATTTTATAGACTGCTAAGCTTTCTCAGGTGGCCCACCTGCACCCTACCCCAGGATCATAGGACCTGGTACTGATTGTTCAAGTCCCTTTAGGATTCTCAAAATCATGTTGAGTGACAGCTTTCTTGGAACTGCTGCATCAGGACTTGTTCATCTGCTCTTGTGAATTATTGCTTTTTGTTTTCTCTGTTTTCCTAGTCCTTATGGATGTACTGTATTTTAGTGGGATTGCATGAGGGAAAAAAATTAAGTATAAATTGGTGGATCTACAATGTTAGCCCAGGAAAGTATTGATAACTCTTTAGTCATGTTTTATAGATCCCTCAACTGAGAAATAGCAGTTGATACTTTTGAATGAATATAGGTCTTGTAATATGTCATCCTTTATCTTTTTTAGCCAGTCAGGGAGAGGAGATGAATGGGATCCAACACTGTGAACTTGCATTCTGTTTTAGGAATTTTGTGTGTCCAAGACTTTCATGTGGGAAACTGTGCTCAATTCTTGCAATAGTATTAGAGAATAGCTTCCATTTTATTCATTTACCTAAAGCTCCAAAAGGTTAAGTGACTTGCTTCAGATCCCAGAGTGGTAAAGATAGAAACTGATCACAAGGCAACACCTGATACAGGACGTCAGGTAGACAAAGGTACACTGGATTTTCTATTGCAGATCAGTAGAAACATTGAAATTCATTATGGCAATGGACATTTGTTACAGGAACTTTTTCTTTTAATTTAGTTGTGGCAAATCAGGCAGTTTCAAAATTCGATGAATAAGATGATGATAGTTATGTTTTTGAAGGTCATATTAACCGGTGCTGATCTTCTTTCTGGCCCAATTAAAACATGGACCCTGTAGCACTATGATATTTTTACCCCTTACCAGTAACATTCATGCCTTTTCTAATTCATTCTATTTACTTCATGTCCTAGTTTTGTTTCAATAGAACAGCTGAAGATCATGCTATTTTCGGTGCAGATGTGAATATAATGTGTTTAGGATATAGATAAGAGTTTTAAAATTCCATCATGAAGCTTAAAGTTTTAAACTTCATTTAAAGTTTAGAGTTTAACTGATTATCTTTTAAGTTGTTTTTAACATAAATATAATTTATGGTGAAGATTTTGACTTGGTTTATAGATCATATCTCTAGCAAACATACGTTTTATGGGCTGGGGATGAAGCTCAGTATTGTGTTTGCCTAGCATGCTTGAGGTCCTAGGTTCAATCCCTAGTACTGTAAAATAAATAAATAAATGAATAAAGATTGACTTTAAATTTAGTTAATCTAAAGGGACAGGTTTAATCCTTTGAGTAACTTGCACTAACAGTTGACTTTAACAAACAAACAAAAAAAAAGTGGAAGATATTTTTAATGTAATTTTATTTCTTTAGCTCCCAGAACCATTTATCTTATTCCGATTATACAAGGAGTTTATGGACCTTGCAAAAGAGATCCAACATGTTAATGAAGAACAAGAAACCAAAAAGGATAACCCTGAGGACAAAAAATACTCAAATATGTGTATAGAAATAAACCGAATTCTTCTAAAAAGCAAGGACCTTCTAAGACAATTGCCAGCATCAAATTTCAACAGTCTTCATTACCTCATAGTACACCTTAAGCGGTAAAAATTTTTATACCATCTTATGGGGTAGAGAGAGAAGATGGGAGGGGAGGGAGGGGGGATGGTAGAGGATAGGAAAGGTAGCAGAATACAACAGTTACTAATAGGGCATTATGTAAAAATGTGGATGTGTAACCGATGTGATTCTGCAATCTGTATTTGGGGTAAAATTGGGAGTTCATAACCAACTTGAATCTAATGTATAAAATATGATATGTCAAGAGCTTTATAATGTTTTTAACAACCAATAAAAAAAAAATTTTAAAAAAAAAATTTTATACCATCTTAACCATTTTTAATTGTACGGTGCAATAGTATTAAGTACATTTATATTGTTGTGGTATTGTTTTTAAAATGATTGTTTCATTTTTATGATGTTTTTATTCTGTATTGGGAGAGACATTGAATATATGTTTATGCAGCCAACATTGCCTGTATGTCAGGCTCTGGCTGGGGAAACCAGGATGGAAACAGGGTTTATGCTGTTTGTAGGCTCATCATTGTGGGGGGACAGACCTATACATAACCACAGTACAGCATCATCCTTTTTTCTAGTAGCTGTGCACAGCTTGCAGGCATGCAGAAGTAGTTTGCATGGGGATTAGGGGTAAAGCAGAGGAGGCAAGCTCTTGAGTCAGATTTTAAGAACTGAGTGGTGATTTGATAGAGAATGTGCAGAAGAGCATACTAGGCAGAGGGTAACAGACATGGAGACACATGAAAGCATTTTGCATTTGGAAAATATAATTTTGTTAGGCTACAATACAGCAAGCAATAGCAGGAACTGAGCTATCCTGTCTACAGGCCCTTTATAGGGCCTTACATACCTGGCAGATGAGTTGACCATATTGTTTCTGTACACATTAAAGAACTTGTAGTCTACTAGATCTTTCTGACAGCAGTGTGAAAAATGGGTTGGAGTGGAGGCCTTCTGCAGTTCGATCTCCTAGAATAGTCATAGAAATAAAAAGTAGTGAGTGCTTGAAGTAAAGCCAGAACATCGAGAGTGGCAGTAGAACAGAGAGATGTTCAGGAGAGAGAATCATCTAGACTAGAAAATTAGCTGTGTGGGCTGGTGTTGTGGCTCAGTGACAGAGCGCTTGCCTCGCATATGTGAGGCACTGGGTTCAATCCTCAGCACCACATAAAAATAAATAAACAAAATAAAGATTGTGTTCATGTATAACTAGAAAAATATTAAAAAGAAAACTAGCTGTGGGGGGATAGGAGTATGACTCAGTGGTAGAATGCTTGCAAAGCACATGTGAAGTGCTGGGTTTGATACTCAACACTGCATCAAAATAAATAAAATAAAGATATTGTGTCCATTTAAAAATACTTTTTAAAAAAGAAAACTGTGGACAATGAGAGAGAAATTGATGATGATGTTTCAGTTTCCAGTATAAGGAACTGAGAGTATATACCATATACAAAGATGTAGCAAATTTTAGGAATATTTTTTTTTCCTTCTGCTGGTAAAACTTCAATAGTTCCTTCTATTTACATGAATTTTATCCTAATATAGTACTCTGAAGCTCAGTTTGGTGTGTGGTAAGTATTATAATCAAACAAATGTATCTTTACCTAGACCCACCAAATTTGACCCTTGACAAATTTTTGTAGTCTTCTGTAACCCATGCTTCCTCTACCCTTCCATTCATAGTAGACTACCATTAAGGAACTCTAATAGGCAAATCTCATACAGCTTTATATGTTTTTTTCAGGGTTGTAGACCATGCTGAAGAAAACAAGATGACCTCCAAAAACTTGGGGGTGATATTTGGACCAAGTCTCATTAGGCCAAGGCCCACAACTGCTCCTGTCACCATCTCCTCTCTTACTGAATATGCAAATCAGGCACGGTTGGTAGAGTTCCTCATTACTTACTCACAGAAGATCTTCGATGGGTCCCTAGAGCCACAAGATGTTACGTGTAGTACAGGTGTTGTTTCACCTCAGGTTGATCAAAGCTGTCCTTCAAAACCTGTGATATCAGCAGAAGAAAGAGACTCAGAACATTCCACAAAGTCACTGTATTTTTCTTCAAAGGAGGTAAGTTTTAACCATTATAGAATTGCTTTAAAACTTTATGATGTTTATGTTAATAAATTAACAATCTTTGAACTGTTTGTTTTGAGGTGTGTTTTGCTTTTTTAGTTTAAAAATTCTCTTGCATCATTAGGATAGCCACACTGCAGATAGTGAAAGTGAAAATTTTGAATCAGCTACATCATTTGAGGAATCAGAACGCAAGCAAAATACATTGGAAAAATGTGATGCATGTCTCATCGGTGAGTGGTCATGTAAAATATATGTTTGCATATTTTCAAACTTTGCAAATAAGCCATGATTAAAAACCAAGGTGAAAGAAGTTGAAGGAAGTTCAAACTTCAAAGTTGTATTAGTTAACTTTGCTAGCCATTGGGAAAGTTTAATGAATGTCATTTAAATGAATATCATTGTTTGTATCTCTCTTGTTAAGAGATATCTTGGAATTCATAAATGTTTTTGTTCTCTTTCTGAAATTTGTTTTCATTTTTACTTCTTGTCATCAATGTCAAGGCAGGAAAAAACTGGACTCCTGAAACTCAAAAAAATAGACTCCTAATTTTTTTTTTTTATGTACTTTCTACCTGTATCCTACCTTTAACACATTAAGCACACATTTCTTCCATTTCCTTGGTTGCAATCCTTGTATTCATTGTTTTTCTCTGATATTATTTCAGTGAATGGTTTCTGTTAACGTGGTTGAAATGCTTCAATTTGTTACTGCTAAATTCTAATTTTTCAAAATATAGGCATATGTGTTAAATTTGATGTATAAAATTAAACATCAATGAGTATAGCCCGAGAAAGTCTGAAAACAAAAGGAGTCAATTACCTGTCTGCTAAGAAAAGCACTGGACTCACTGATTGCATTTATCTGATTTGATCTTATTTTCAGTTCTGTGCTATGAACATTGGCCTCATTTAAGCCATGGCTAACAGTCAGAGGAAGGTTAATAATGCCAAGGGTCATGTCCCTAAATTATTGTTCATTCAGGATTTGAACCTAGTCCTGTCTCATTTTTTTTTTAAAGAGAAGGAGAGAGAGGGAGAGAGAGAGAATTTTAATATTTATTTTTTAGTATTTGGCGGACACAACATCTTTGTTTGTATGTGGTGCTGAGGATCGAACCCCGGCCACACGCATGCCAGGCGAGCGCGCTACTGCTTGAGCCACATCCCCAGCCCCCCGTCTCATTCCTAAATCTAACCTTGTTTCACTGTGCCATGAAATTGGATTCCTGGTTAGGTATAGTAATAAAATAAATAATTTTTTAAAGTGTTCAAGTTTTTATTACATACCAGGTAATTCTAAGCCTTTTCCTTATTAGATTATTAAGACCACATGATAGCATAGCTCCATATAGGGGTCTTTCTTGACAGAGGAAAGCAGGTAGGGCTAGTGCAATGGACTTGCCCAGGTCAGAACTGGAGCAGGAGTGGAGCCAGAACCCAGGCAGCTATCTGCAGATCCTGCAGTCTTCATCATGCAGGACTGTAAAAATGCACTAATGCTTATCATCCAACCACAATGGCTCAGCTCCCTTCTATCAACGTGGAGAAGGGCCCAGGAGAGCAAATCACATGAGCAGTGCCTGGGAACCAGGGAAGAGAGGCCAGCAGCCTCAGATGAAGAAGGAGGTCAGATGAGATGATGATCTGCAAGTGATGCTGGTGTGGACCTGTCTGCAAACCACTGCCCTAGGATGTGGGAGAAGGACCAGGTGGCAGGGACAAGGACAGTGGGCTATGAACAGGGCCAGTGGCAAAGCCATCTGACCAGTCAAGGTGCACAGTTATCTGATGTTTCTCAGCAGGGAGAGGAGAATCATGGCCAGAGGGCTGCACCTTTCCAGCAACAGGAGCTTCTGGGGTAAAAGCAGCAAAGACAGTGTGAGGAGCTGAGAGTCCTAAATGAGAAAACAGGGACCTTAGGACCAGACTAGAGGAGAAAGATAAGGAAGTAAATCTGGAGTCACCAGAACCAATAGCAGAATGACAGTTTTGACAACTCTTCAACCTTAATTTGAGACCAATGGATGTTGCCATGTATTAGTGGATCAGCTGGGAGAGCATCCATGTCCTCTCTGGTGTGTGCCCTCAGTATGGACAGAATGTAGCTGGAAAGCAGATGAAGTGATAGGAAAAGTCCTTGGGATTCAGTGTATGGCTTTGGTTGGTGTATAGAATACTGTAACTGTTCTGAGGTTACCAATGTCTGCTTGTTGAAATCAGGACAATCCTAACCCAGCAAATATTCACTCATCAATAGTATATTAAAAAAATATTACTTCAGGAAGTGTTTTTTTGTTTTGTTTTATTTAACCAACTTATGATGTGATTTGTGGCTATTTATTATATTGATTTAGATAAAATTTTAAAAGTAATGCTCTAATTCAAAATGTGCCTTTAATGATGTATGAATTTTTAATTCCTCTGCATAGATGACTGAGAATATCATGTGTTGTTTTGAGAGTGTGCCCACTAATAACTAACCACACTCCCTTATTAACAGAGCTCCATGAAGTGAAAAAAAATTTTCTTTTTCAGATAACAAAGAACTTGAATCATCATCCCAAAAGATGGACAATATTTGTAGAACCACTAAGCCACTTGCTCTGAAATTTGATAGGGCAACAAACAATATACAGAGGCATATGCCAAGGACCAAGATTAGACCTGTAAGTTTGCCTGTAGATAGATTACTTCTTGCAAGCCCTCCTACTGAGAGAAACAGCAGAAATGTGGGAAATGTCAATTCAGACAAGTTTTGCAAGAATCCTACCTTTGAAGGACTTTATAGAAAAGATACCCCTACTACTGTTTGTTCCAAATTTAATGGTTTTGATCAGCAGATTCTACAGAAAACTCGAGGACAGCAATGTGAACAAAACAACTTAACTGCCAAGACTGCAATGATTGTGCCTAGTGCACTCCAGGAAAAAGTGACAGTGAGCATCAGGGTCAGTGGTGACCATCCCAGCAGTGCCACACAGCCCAGCACGCCAGCCATATCAGCAAGAGAGGTGTCAGAGAGACGGTCCTCCGATTCCTGCCCTCTTGCTCTTGCCAGAGCACCCAGAACACTACAGCCCCTACACTGGACAACATTTTATAAACCACGTACCCCCACCAGCAACGTCAAGGGGACTGAGGAGAGACCAGCTTCACCATTAGCAGCAGTGCCTCCTAGCACAGCTTGTACTCCCCTGAGTCATGTGGAGAAATCAGTTCCAGACTCAGACAGCACATCAGCTTGTCCTTTGCAGCCAGGTGGTAAGCCTAAAGAGAACTCTGAGGAGCACGGCCTGCCTGACGTGAATCCAACATGCCAGAGACCCAGGCTAAAACGAATGCAACAGTTTGAAGACCTTGAAGATGAAATCCCACAATTTGTGTAGGGTTGTAAAATTCAGTTTTTATTTTTGTTATTTTGTTGTTTTTGTTTTGTGATATTGTGTTTATTTTATGAAAGAATGTTTTGACAGGACCCCTTTTGTATAGGATTGCCAAAGTGTGTATTTTGCCTTTTATTCTCGTATGGTGTTTGCTAGTCATATAGAATAGGTCGTGTTTTAGTCATATAGAATGGTAGTGCCTCACTGGAATTGTCCTTAAATTTTGTATTTTTGAAGTTTTGCATAAAATAAGTATTGCATTTTTAAAATTTCAAATGATTTTCCCCATAAAATTATCCACTTAAATGCATCCCTAGTATAATGAAATAGTTCTCAACAAATAGGTGCACTAGGGGAAAATCAGCTTTATTTTGGAGCAAAACTAAGTGCTCATTTATAAAATGTTTCTGAATGCAAATTCCTGAAAGATCTTTATTGCGTATGAATATGTTTTCCCATACAGTTTTATAGTACATCTTTGACCACTTGTGTGTTTATAGTAAGTATGTAAGTTTTTATTTTTCAATTGGCAATTCACCTAACTTTTTAATATTTACATAATGTCCAAAAAGTTTGCAAATCTATAGTTCTAATTGTCAGTTTTTACATGTGGTGGTCAGTTAAATTATACAAAGAAAATGCACTTAAATACCAAAAAGTTTGGAACTGTTATAAAATAAAAATTTGTACAGATGAAGCCAAGGAGTAAAAAACTATCAAATTTATTAAAACCATCTAAAGCCAAATAAGATATAACTAAACTATGTAATTTAAATTATATTATAATGTTATATATAACATATAATATGTTGTATATTACATATGGTATTATATAACATATGTTTATGATATAATATTATATATAAACAATAATTATAATATATTTTATATATTACATATTACTATAAATTATATAAATAATATTACATTATTAGTATTATGTAAATTATATTTATTATATAATAAATAATGATCATATTATTATAAATAATACATGAATTAACATACATATGCTATATAATATATAATTAGATTATATCATGATAAATAATATGAATTATAATATGCTATTATATAAAAACATAATGTATAATATAATTTAAATTATATATTTATATTTTATATGATTTCAGATAGTTCTAATAAGTTTGATAGTTTTTAACCTCTTAGCTTCATCTGTATAAATTTTTATTTTATGATAGTTCCAAACTTTTTGGTATTTTCTACAATGCTCTAAATACTGCTTCAGAAATTTTTTAATTCAGTGCATTTTCTCTTGATATTGTGTGGGTTTTGTTGAAACCATTCCCTTTGTATGAAATGTTTCAACTTATAAATCGTTTATATACTTTTTCTACCTGGACTATCAACCATTAAAAATGTATATTTCATTAGAATTAAGGAAAAATTTATTTAAGTTCATTCTGAGAATACAGTAAGCCTCATTGTTTGAAATTGGATAGAAGGTGTAGATGATTGAATCTGTTTCATTTGTAAAATACCCAGTTTTTATAACTAGTGCATTCCTGTTATTTTCTGGATTTTCATCATTTTGTCTAAAATAGGATATAAAAGGGAAAAAAATAAAATGGCCTCTTTTTATATGTGTGAACTATATTGCTAGTCAATGTTTTTGTATGACCATGTTATACTTGATAAAAAAATTATATGTATATGTTTATACACACACATTATATATATTTAAATTATTTCAAATATTTGAAGTTATTGTGGCTCCTATGAAACTGTTGCCTCTTAGAGTATGATACTTTAAGATTATTAACCATTGACTCAGTGGTCAACACTTGGGCTCATATTATCACTTGACTATAATAAGAAATGTGTTTTATGGCATGTTGTCTTATAGTTCTCTTTAACATTCAGGACTAAAGAGAAATGAATAAACAGCCTTTTTATGCTTAAGCGTATTTTTTTAATCTTCCTTATACAAAGTATAAAAATCATATTGGTATGAAAACCTGAAAAGAAAATCAGAGCTAATATTTATTGAGCCCCTTCTGTGTATTAAAACTTGGTATCGAGTTGAAATTTCACAGCAACCTATAATGGGTAAGTAAGCATTTTATGATTCCTGTGTTACAGGTGAGGAAACTAAGGCTTAACTAAGTGACATGCTTTTAGGTTCCAGAGATGCAGCAAGCACAACCAAATCTCAAATCCAGGGCCATCAAATTTTGATGGCTCGTGCCTCTTTTTTGGTGGGGGAAGGGTACCAGGGATTGAACTCAGAGGCACTCAGCCACTGAGCCACATCCCCAGCACTATTTTGTATTTTATTTAGAGACACGGTCTCACTGAGTTGCTTAGTAACTTGCTTTTGCTCAGGCTGGCTTTGAACTTGAGATCCTTCTGCCTCAGCCTCCCAATGGGATTACTGGCGCATGCACCAGCTGGTTAGTGCTCTTAATGACTGTGATTACTTAATAATAGCAGGAAGCACTGAACAATAGAAAAAGCATCTTTAGATTTTATTGTAAAATACACATAAATTTGCCATTTGAACCATTTTTAAGTGTACAGTTCAGTGGTACTAATATATTCACATTGTTCTGTGACTATGCTCAAGTGTCCATTTCCAGAACCTTTTCATTATCCTGTAATAAAACTTACAGACTTTAAACTCCTTCGGTTTTAATATGTGGATACCACCCACTCAGAGCATACAGACCTCATAAGTGAGGGTGGCACTGTCATGTCCTTTCTGCCTTTAGGGCCTCCTGGGATCTTGTTCAGCTTAGAGCCTTCAGACCGAATGTTCCAGCTTCCTGGGGGCACTGAAGCAAGTGTCTCCTGAGAAGAGGTTGCTGTTTCTAGAGTACCCAGAGTACTTATTGCCCTGCTACCCAATAATGTGGTAGAAATTGTTCATTGGAAAGTTGTCTTAGGACACTTGGAAACAGATGTGAGCAAGGGGAACGGGCATCATGAAGATTCCTATTAGAGCTGCCAGGCCACCAGAAAGCTTTGTGCAATGTATATTGTTCAAGTTTATGAGAATTGTTTGTGGAGGGTTGATAATACTTTCCCTCCATGGGCCTGTTTACATGCTGAGAATTTAATTAGAGTTTATGAATATTTTAAACTACTTTAAATGTACCATATTGGTATGATTATATGTGTAGACAGTTCAGTTAATATCTGTAGTTTAGCAAAGTTACATTCACAATCAGTATGTAGAAGTCTGTTGTATTCCTGGATATGGACAACTAACAGAAATTAAGGTCTATAGAAAAATTTATAATAAAATGAAAAATTGAAGTACTTAAGAATAAAAAGATATAAAAGATCTTCATGTATAAAATTTTAGACCACATCAGGGATAAAAGCCTCAATATTGTAAAGATGGTCATTTACCTTTCATTTTTGGATTCAATAAATCCCAACCAAAATACATTTGTACCATTTGAAAATTAAAGACATAATGCCCCATTACCTCTAACTACTTGAGTGTGTACTTAAACAGTAACATTCCTTCATAACCATAGTGTACCCATGGAACTCTGGAGATTAACATGATAATGACATCTAATCCACATTTTGCTAATTGCCCCAATGATGATGCTGTCTTCAAGCATCCCAATCCAGGATCACATGGTGGATTTAATTGTCTATCTCTTTGGTCTCCTTCCATCTGGAACAGTTTTTTTGGTCTTTTCATTCATGACCTTGACACTTGAGGAGGGTAGGCCAGTTTGTATAATGTTTCTCAGTTTGGGTTTCTGTAATATTTCCTCATGATTAGAGACAAGATATACATTTTTGTCATAAATATCAGAAATGATGCTTTATTCTCTTTATTGTATCATACTAGAAGATGCACAATGTCCATTTATCCCATTTCTGGTGATGTAGTCTTTGGCCACTAGGTTAGGATAGTATCTACAAAGTATTTCCATCATGAAGTTAGTAGTTGAGATTCTTGGAGACCGTGTAAATGTTCTGTTTCCCACTGAATTGCCAACAGCTATTTTAAGTCTATTGACAATTCTTGCCTGAATCAGTTACTATTTTGATTGCCAGGTGGTGAGTCTGCTGCTTCTGCTTTGATATCCTACTTTAAGGAAGAACCTTCCTTCTCCATGTGTTTATTCATTTATATCAGTTTAGGTTCCTGGGCTCTCACTTTATTTAGTAGTTTATAATATATTACTGTCATTTATTTTCATGCTGAAAATTTTCCAGATTTTGTCTGTGGGAATTTCTTTAAGCTGTCTTCTATGTCCCTTTGACATGTCTACATTTCTTTTGGGATTTTTCCTTATTGTTTTGGTATATCAAAGTGTTACAAGGTCATCTTGTACTTTTCCCTGTCCCAGATTTAGATTAGACATTTTCGAAGGTACATTGTTTCCTTTAAATGGAGAATGGTATATGGAAGGCAAGACTTGAGAAGGATTCAGAGCTAATTGCGAAGTCACTGGTTTTAAGCCCTCTTGGTAGACAAACTTGTACAGATACACATGTAGACATAAATACATCATTTGTGCATTCGTATGTAAACATACTTTGTAAACCTTGAAGACCTTAAGTTCACACCGACATCTTTAATTCTACTTCAATACTTTGGGATTTACACTATTTCCCTTTCCATATTTGTAATTCCCTTTTCTCATAGAAATCCAACTTCCATAATGCTAAATACTTAATTTTTCCCTCAACCTCTTGACAAAGTCAACTGCTGCTTCATTCCACCTGGTCCCAAATACAACAAATCAAGTCCTCAGTAATTGCTGTACTGGTTCTGACCACAGTGATCCCTGACATGTCACTTGAAACCCTAACCTCTACACCAGCCCAGACCACAGCAAGAGAACCCTTACCCCCAGGGAAGTTCATGCTGAGCCCACCTTTGGAATCCTAGGTCCCTATCATTTGCCAGAGGGAGGCAAGAAACAAATGGACTATCTTTTTTGAAAATGAGCATTTATTGAATTTTTAGTTTACTAGGGAAAGTTTAAAAATGAATGGTTATACATATTTAC